AGAGGAATGAGTTCCTTGAGCTCTGAGTGTTTTTCTAAAGCTCCCTACTTTATACTATATAATGTCCCTGGATGCTCTTCCTTCCTGGAGTACTGGACACACAGTGTTGTTGTTGCTTTTGTTAGCTGCATTTGAGTTTTCCCTGACTCATGGTGACTCCATGCACAAGGGAACTAAATGCTGACCAATCCTGTCTGTGTCATTCCCATGATTGGCGGGGGAGCTTGGCGGGGGAGTTCAGTTGTTGTGTTCCATAGACTTTTGTTTGCGTCTGTTTTACTTCTTAAAAATTGCAGCGAATTTATAGGTAACATAACATTTGCCATTTCTACATTGTTCACATGTACAGTTCAGTGACATTAATTACATTCATATGTTCTCTATCATCACAATAAATAGTCCCCGAAACTTGGCATTGTGCCATCGTTTCCCCTCCCACTACCTACCCCTGGGAACCACAGATAAACATTGATCTCTACACACTAACTTGCCTGTATATTTCATGTGATCCATAGGGTTTTCATCGACTGATTTCTAGAAGCTATTCACCAGGTCTTTCTTTAGTTTCTCTTAGTTGAAACCTGTTAAGCAACATAGCAACATACAAGGCCCTTACTGACATACAGATTGAGGTTGCACGGGAAGTGCATTAGCTGGGAATTGAACCCAGCTCTCCTGAATGGGAGGTGAGAATGTTACCACTCAACCACCACTGCCCCTAGATTCACACTGCCTCCGAGTAGATGCTGACTCACAGCAACCCTACAGGACAGAGGAAAATTGCTCCCTAGGGTTTCTAAGGGTATAATCTTTACAGGAGGAGATTGCTTCCTCATTTTCACGTGGAGCAGCAGGTGGGTCTGAACCACTGACCTTTTGGTTAGCAGACCAATGCTTAACTCACTGCACCACCAGGGATCCTAGCTACATAATGTTGTTGTTGTTAAGTGACATCAAGTTGGTTCTGACTTATAGGTACGTAGCACATAGCAGAGACATACCAACAGCTCCATAATCTCCATATAAATGATTCTCTAGCAGGACCTGTATTCTCCCTATGCCAGGGCTTATCATGGTATGTGATTGTTGTCATTTTAATTCCAGTCCCCTCCACTTTCAGAAGGTCCTGGAAGGTAGGGACAATGTCTGGGTTCATGCTTATAAATCCAGTCCTATAAGAGTGTCTGACAGACAGTTGTTGTTGTTGGTATTAAGTACCATTGAGTCATTTCCAACCCATAGTGACCCTGTATAGGGTTTTCAAGGAGCAGCTGGTGAGCTTGAACCACCGATCTTGCAGTTCAAACTGACTTTGCAGTCTGGCGCATTAACCCACAGTGCCACACCAGGACTCCTAGGTACTCAATAAATCTTGGTTGCATTGAAATGGTTTCAAATGGCCATAAAGATCTAGTTCTAACACCCATTGTTATTTGAACCCCTTTTGCTAGGACCAACTGATTTCAGATTATTTGTTGTTGTTAAGTACCATGGAGTCAGTTCCAACCCATAGCGACCTTGTATAGGGTTTCTGAAGAGCGGCTGCTGAGCTTAAACCATTGACCTTGTGGTTCAAACTGACTTTGCAGTCCAATGCATTAACAACTCCATACCAGGACTCCGATTTCAGATTATGGACCAAGAGATATTCTTACTAGAGAAAACTAACATTAACAACAAAACACTGAACTTAAGTTTCCAGAGAGCAAGTAGTTGGAATCTCTAATACCTCTTGACTCAGAGTTCAGACTTCTGAAAGATGAGACAGGCACTTCAGGAATTTGAGCTGGGACCTATTTTTGGGGCCCAATCTAATTCCTGGGATTGCAAAGCAGATGCCTTCTTTAGTTTGTACAACTTGAGGGTAGCAACCACTTTGGATTAGAGACTCTTGAACTATTTCCAAGGTCCTGTCCACATTGATAGCTAGTGCAGGCAGGATGCCTAGGAATGTCTGAGACAGAGAGGGGTATGGAGAAGTAATCAGTTGACCAAGAATATCAATAAAGAATCAACTCCTGGTTGCTGTCCCCAGGAAGCACAAGCTGATGGGAAATGAAGAGACTAGGAAGTGGCTGTTTGCCTTCCTCATTACTCTTCAGCTCTGTCACACCTCCATGCCTGAGTCTAAGTGTCCAAACCAAGCTTGCAATAGATCACCTGTGTAAGGCGTTCATTAGCATGTCCTGAGCATCCAGCTATAGAAAGGTGGTGCTGGTCCCTAAGCTAGATTCCTTGGAAAGGTGAATTATCCGTCGGAAGATGGGTGAAAGGCAACTCAAATCTCATGCCTAACAACACCAAAGAGTTCATTCATATTCAACTTGAGAGAAGACTCAGTTCTCACTAGTTACTATTCTTCTCAGCCAGTCCAGCATCCAATGAACAAGGGCACTGAGAAGTATTAAAGGTAGAGAGAAAATGCCCTTTCCCTTCAGATATACAGGGCAATGACTTTAATCTTCATGTGCTCCTTAAACATAGTCAAGTCGCACTTCTCTGGGGGTGGGGAAGGCAAGGAATAGAATAACTCTAGTCTAGAGAGTTCAGTAAATACCTGGCACAGAATAAAAAATGGTGTCTATGATAAAAAGTCCACCACTTGTCTGTCAGTTTGCTGTACTGTGGTAGCTTGTGTGGTGCTATGATGCTTAAATCTATGCCAAAGGCATTTTAAATACTAGTGCTGTTGTTGTTGTTATGTGCCGTGGAGTCGGTTCCGACTCATAGCGACCCTGTACAGGGTTTCCAAGGCTTGAAATCTTATGGGAGCAGAAAGCCTCATCTTTCTCCCGCGGAACAGCTGGTAGTTTCAAACTGCTGACCGTGAGATTAGCAGCCCAATTTGTAACCACTACGCTACCAAATCTCCTTTTAAATACTAATAGGGTCACCCATAATGGACAGGTTTCAGTGGCGCTTCCAATCTAAGACAGACTAGGAAAACAGAGAGGCAGACCACTTCTGAATGGTTGCTCCTTGAACACCTTATGAATAGCACCAATACATTGTCAGATAGAGCGCTGGAAGATGAGCCCCTGAGGTGGGTAGGCATTCAAAACACAAGTAGCTGTCTCCTCAAATTAGAGTTGATCATGATGATATAGATGAAGTTAAACTTTCTGGACTCTCATCTTCTGATGGGGCACAACCCAAAATGAGGAAAACCAACTGTAAACACCCATTACTAATTAGAACATGGAATGTATAAAGCATGAACCTAGGAAAACTGGAAGTCATCAAAAATGAAATGGAACACAAATAGATTGATATCCTAGGCATTATTGAGCTGAAATGGACAGTTACTGGCCATATGGTCTGACAAGTCTATGGTTTACTATGCTGGGAACGACAAATTGAAGAGGAAAAGTGTCATCTTCATCGTCAAAAGAACATGACAAGATCTATCTTGAAGTACAATGGTGTCTGTGCTTGGAATAATGCCAAGGTTTTGGCGAAAAACAAGGCTCCAGGAGTACAGATAGAAATGTTTCAACAAAAGGAAGCCGCACTGGCTCTGTTCACTAGTCAATGTCAAGAAATCTGCAAGACAACTACTTTGCTAACCGTAAGGGAAAGTTCCATATTTGTGTCCTTTCCAAAAAGAGGTGGTCCATCAGAAAGTGGAAATCATCAGATAATATCATTAATACCACATGCAAATAAAGATTTGCTGAAGATAATTCAAAATTGGTTGCAACCGTACATCAACAAGGAGCTGCCAGAAATTTAAGCCAGATTCAGAAGAGGATGTGGAACTAGGGAAATAAGTGGTGATATCAGATGGATCTTGGCTGAAAGCACAGAATAACAAAAAGATATTTACTAGTGCTTTATTGATTCTGCAAAGGCTTTCAAGGCTCTTGACAAACTATGGACAACACTGTGAAGAATGGGTAATCCAAAGACCATTGATCTGCAACATCTCAAGTGTCCATATGTCCACCAATAGCCCAGCCTCTGCTCCTCCTCTGTCCCTAGCTACAGTGAATGGTCCACCAGCCTTCTCATTATTGAAGCGAGAAATCTTGTAGTCCTCCTTGACTACTCCCTTTCTCCTCACAGCAAATCCGTCATCACGTTCTGTGGATTCTACTTCCTAAATATCTCAAGTCCATCTGCTTCTCTCCATCTGCCCACTAGCATATTAGTGAATACCACAATCAACTTTGCCCTTAGGTAACATGTCTTGAAGCTCATCTCCCTGCCACAGCCTTTCCTCTTCAACCCACTTTTCAAGCTTGTTAGTATAAATCTGATCATAACTCTTTCCTGCTTTAACCCTTCATTGTTGCTGTTGTTCAGTGCCGTCGAGTTGATTCTGACTCATAGCAACCTTGTATGAGGTTTTTAAGGAGTGGCTGGTAGGTTGGAACTGCTAACCTAGTGGTTAGCAGTCCAGTGCTTTTCCTAAAGCATCACACCAAATAAAATCTAAGCCCCTACACCTAGCTTATAGAGGCTGCTGTTATCTGCTTCATGCTTCGCTCCCCTCCCCAACCTTAGCAGACATGATGTTCCTTTTTGTTCTGTGGAATGGAATGACTTGCATTTTTCATATGAATCAAAATCCCCCTCCCTTACCCACACATGCTTTTTGTCGGTCTCTCTGCAGGACTGCAGACATGCTCTCCCTCTACTTAGCATACTCATCCCTCCCTTCTTCTTTTCATGCTAACTCATTCTCAAGTTTTAATTATCAGCTTAGGTGCCACATCTTTCAGGAAACTTTCTCTGACACTTGGACCCTGGGTAAGATACCACTGTGCTCATGGGATTGCAATTGTCTGCCAGACTGGAAAACCCTTTGAGGAAAAAACCCATTTTTGTCATTGGAACACCCTAAGTATCTCCAACAAGGATTTGCCCCAAACAGACACTCAAATATGTTCACTGGATAACTGGATGAGTGCTAACAATTGGCCTATAGAGCAATCTCTACTTGACAGGGGCTAAGCCAACTCTAGGCATCAGAGGTATACAGCAAGGGTAACACCTACCTAGGATGGCCACCACCTCATCATCCTGGATCACCTCCAGGGAGCCAGACACCACAAAGCAGAGACTGTCCACGCTCTCGCCTGCATGGTAGATGAGATCTCCTGGGGCACAGTGCACCGTCTGGAACTCCATGGCCAGTGCCCGCAGGCAGCCGTCGCTGGCCAGCCGAAAGGCTGGATGCTCCTTGAACACCTTTCGGTTCAGATGCACACAGATGTCAGCTCTCATGTCCTTGGGGCAGATCTGTAGGACCTGGCAGGGCAGAGGAAGAAACAGCATCAGAGTTCTGCTGTGGCCTCTAGCCCACAGCCCTTTACATCCCAGGGCAGAAACAACATTCCCTAGACTAGATAAAACTCTTCTAGGTTCCAGTGAACAAAACAGCTACAGGACCTGCCCATGTGAGGCTCACATTCTGTGCATCAAAGCGCTGCGGGTTTTGTTGTTGTTGTTAAGTGCTGTGGAGTCAGTTCTGACTGATAGCAACCCTGTATAGGGTTTCCAAAGACTGGCTGGTGAGCTTGAACCGCTGATCTTACAGCTCAAACCGAATTTGCAGTCCAGTGCATTAATCCACAGCACCACAAACAGGATAGGAGGCCTATTATGTGGCTCCTAAAATAGGGTGGTCAGGGACGGGCTCTCTGACGAGGCGATGTTCGTGCTGACCCCCGCATAATGTGCGAAAGTGAGCCACGTGAAAGAACATTCCAGCAGAGTGTTGTTGTGAATAGCTGTCAACTTGATACCTACTCATGGCGACCCCGTGTATGCCAAGCAGAACTGTGAGCCATTGAATTTTCAAGGATGTGACCATTCAGAAGTAGATCCCTAGGCCTGTTATGAGGAGCTCTGACTGAGTTTGCACCACCAACATTCTGGCTAGTAGCTGTGCCACTGAGGGCTGCAGTCCAGCAGATGGGGTTGAACAATAACTAATGTGAATGAGGGACAGGAGTAGGAGATGAGGCTCAGAGAATGCCAGCTCAACCGTGTATGGAGACTTACAGGATATGATAAGGCCTTTGATTTTATTTCATATGATAGGAAACAGAGGAGGGTTTTCAGCAGGGATGTGCAGGGCATGGCCAGAGTCACATTTTAAAGCGGGGTGGAGAGCATTTTTTTCTGCCATGGGCCATTTGTGGGCCATACAAAATTATCAACTTAAAAATTACCCTCTTACATTTGGTCAAACACTTACTTAACTGCTCCCTAATGTGAATTCCGGAACACTTAATTGTGCTCATGAGGAATCTGTACATGGACCAAGAGGCAGTTGTTCGAACAGAACATAGGAATACTGAATGGTTTAAAATTAAGAAAGGTGTGTGACAGGGTTGTATTCTTTCACCATACTTATTTAACCTGTATGCTGAGCAAATAACCCAAGAAGCTGGGTTATATGAAGAAACACGTGACATCAGGATTTGAGGAAGACCCATTAACAACCTGCGATATGCAGATGATACAACCTTGCTTGCTGAAAGTGAAGAGGACTTAAAATATTTACTGATGAAGATCAAAGAGCACAGCCTTCGGTATAGATTGCATCTCAATGTAAAGAAAACAAAAATCCTCACCACTGGAGCAATAAACAACATTCTTATCAATAGAGAAAAGACTGAAGTTGTCAAGGACTTCATTTTTCTTGGGTCAGCTATCAACACTCATGGAAGCAGCAGTCAAGAAATCAAACGATGTATTACATTAGGCAAATCTGCTTGACAAGACTTTTTCAAAGTGTAGAAGAGCAAAGATGTCAGATTGAAGACTCAGGTGCACCTGACCCAAGCCATGGTATTTTCAATAACCTCATATGCATGCGAAAGCTGGAAAGTGAATAAGGAAGACCGTAGAAGAATTGATGCTTTTGAGTTCTGGTGTTGGAGGAGAGTTTGAAAACCGACCTTGTGGTTCACTGTCCAGTGCTGATCCTACAGCACCAGACCAGCTCCCAAATAATACAATGGACACCTTCAAATAGACTTTTCAAGAGAAAGCAAGAGTATTTCTAAATTAATCATTTCATTTTTCCATCCTAGCCTGTAAATAGAGTTAAATGCATAAAACCAAACATGCTCAGGGAAGACATTTCCTTGAGTTGCTGGGCTCTTCCCCCATTCTGCTTCTCCTCCTTGTTTGTTAGTGTTGTTAAGGGCCCCTGAGTAGGTTCTGACCCATAGTTACCCTGTATAGGGTTGCCAAGGAGTGGCTGGTGAGCTTGAACTGCTAACCTTGTGGTTCAAATGACTTTGCAGTCCAGCACATTAATCTAGAACTCAATCATGAGCATGAAAGTCCCTCTGTCTCGTTCAAAATTCAGCTCAAATCTCTCCTTGCCTAAGATGTTGTGTTAAGTGCCATCGAGTCCATTCCAATTCATAGCAACCCTGTATAGGGTTTCCAAGGAGCAGTTGGTGGGTTTGAAGTGCCAACCTTGTGATTCACAGTCCAGTGTTGATCCTACAGTACCACACCAGGAGTTCCTAAGATGGTCTCCCTCATCTTCCCACTTTCTCTAGGGGCCCCAGTGCTCCGCATGGAGACATTGTTGTTGTTAAGTGCCTTGGAGTTGGTTCCGACTCATAGTGACTTTGTACAGGATTTCCAAGGAGGAGCTGGTGGGTTTAAATCGCTGACCTTGTGGTAAGCAGCCCAGTGCTTATCCTACAGTGCCACACCAGGAGTTCCATAGCAGGGCACTGTTGTTGTTGTTATGTGCCGTGGAGTCAGTTCCGACTCATGGAGACCCTATACAGGGTTTCGGAGGTTGTCAATGTTTACGGGAGCCGAAAGCCTCATGTTTCTCCTGCAGAAAAGCTGGTAGTTTCGAACTGCTGACCTTGTGGTTCAAAGCCTGATTCATAATCACTATGCTACCAGATCTCCTTAGCAGGGCAAAACAAAACAAAAAAATCCCCACTGTCATCAAATAGATTTCAACTCATAGAGACCCTATATAGGGTTTCCAAGTCTACAAATCTGTACAGAAGCGGACAGCCTCATCTTTTTCTTGAAGTGCAACTGGTGGGTTTGAACCACCAACCTTGTAGTTAGCAGTTCAATGCCTAACCCATTGACAGTGCCATGAAAGATCCTTGTAGAAAAGAGGAAGTTAAATAGTTAAAATCTCAGCTTCAATCTCTCCAAATTACTTACTGCTCTACACCTCAATCACGCCTGTAAAATGTAGATGACTAGCACTGGGAATCCCGGGGTAGTGTACATGGTTAATATGTTTAGCTGATAACCAAAAGGTTGGAGGTTCAAGTCCATCCACAGAATAAAGGCTGGAGATCTAGTTAAACAATTTAGCCACTGGAAGTCCTATGGAGCAAAGTTTTATGCTGATACACACAAGAGTTATCATGAGTACAAATGGACTTGAGGGTTACTTGTCTCATTTAACATGGATTTATGAGACTTCAACTAAATGACATCTACCTAAAAACAACCACCACCACCAGAACACTACCTAGGATGGTGCTGGGCCCATAGGAGACTCTCTGAACAGATTCCCCCACCTCTGGGTGCCTCAGGTCTTTTGCTCTCATCTGCAGATGATGGCGAGAAAATGAATGGGGATTGCTGACTGATCAAGGCAGGGAGGAGAATTCAAACTGCCAAAGCTTGGGTAGCATGCTTACTAAGTACCTCTCTCCTTAAGGCTCATTTAAAAGAAGACTCCAGCAGAAATACAGATTTAATTTGGGTCATACTCTCTGAGCATAACATCAGGGATGAAGGGACACTCTACACGTCATGTCAAAACTGTGCCCGCCCAGCAGTTAGGAACCAAGATTTACATTCCAGATGAATTCACCTTTAAATATTTGGTTTCCCATGAGTAGGGTTTTGCTGGCAGAGGCTGCTAGTGGAACAAGGCCTTGGCATGGGGACAAGTTTTGATTCATGGGCACCGTCCCCAGAGCTGCTGACAAGTTCATGTGAGGAGACAAGGGAAGCTGGAGTGGAGAAATGATTGGAGAAATAGTCAGCCATGGCTGTGGGTCTCCTCCATCAGTCCTCTCAGCTCTGCTGGGTGAGGGGCTGAATGCCTCTACCGGAAGGGGGCCCAGGCCCCATCGCCTGCCCAGACCATCTTCCCTGCTGCTTACTTCTGAGAAGATACCATCCTGGTTATTCCTTGAGGGCCTCGGTGATGTCACCAAGCAGGTGGTGAATGCAGCCTCCCCCAGGTTAGGAGGTCAGAATCGTGGTTAAGAGAACAGGCTTTAGGATCAGAAAGATCTGAATTCAACTCCTGGCTCCATCACTCAGAATTCATGTGAACTTGAAGCAATACTAAACTTCTTTCCAGTCTTCATTTTCAAACTTGAACACAGCATTCTCCTGAGGATGCCATGAGCTGCTGTGTGTAAAGTCCCGGGCACAAATGTTGAGTACACACAAGGGCTCAATGTTGTTATTGTTAGGCTCCTTTGGGTTGGTTCTGGATCATAGTGACCCCATGTACAATAGAAGTACATATTGCCTGGTCCTGCCTCATCCTCACAATTGTTATGTGTAAACCCATTGTTGCTGCCATGGTATCAGTCTGTCTCAGTTGAGGGTCTTCCTGTTTTTCAATGGCTCAATACATGTGGATTACTGATTTGTTATTGTTTTGCAATACTTTTTCTTTTAAAAAAATTGTAGCAATATATATACAACAAAACATTTGTAATTTCAACCACTGTTACATGTACAATCCTGCCACACCAATTACACTCCTTATGTTGAACAACAATCAGCACTGTCCATTTCCACATTGCTTTTTTTTACTCTCTCCTTTTTTCCCCTTTACTTTCTTTCCTTCGTCTGCAGGAAAGGTCCCAGTGGTTTGTCCTAATGAGAAAATAAAATACACATTGTTTCTCTTCCAGTGCATGGGAAAAAGAGAAAAAACAAACAAACAGAAAAACAGATAAGAAAATAAGAAAGGGAGGAGAGTGGTTGACTTTGCAGTCTAGGAGCAGAGGTCCCTGGAACCATCAAGGGAGAGGAGCAGAGTGTGGAACCCTACCCAGAGAAACAGTGACACCAGAGATGGAGGCAGAGATGATGACATGGAGAGATGGAGCGGCTGGGGACTCTATACCCAGAGAGGGAGAGGGGCTGTGTGCTGACAACCAGGGGACAGGCTTGCAGGGTGTACCATTTGGTTGGTTGATGATGCATGGAGGGGATTGTAATCAAGGCAATGTAACGATATACGATAGGATGCATGTAAAGCTAATGTTCTCCCA